TTTTTTTTTTTTAATGCATTGTTCAATTATGAGATTTTGGCAATTTGGCTTTTAATAAAGTGCTGTTTCAGACTAGTACTATAGTCGATGTGTACCTGTAGATTTCAGTTTCACTTCATATCTTTAAAAGCCATTAGATTTCTACATACAGGTACATCTAAAAAAATTAGAATATCATGAAAAAGGTCAATAATTTTTGTGACTCATTTCAGAAAGTGAAACCCATATATTATATAGATTCATTACACATAGAGTGAACCCTATATTAAAGAGAGAGAACTGGAGAAAAGAGCAATGGAACTGGATAGAAGAGCGATGGAACTGGATGAAAGCACAATGGATCCAGATATTAGAGAGACAGACCTGGAGAGAAGGGAGAAAGAACTGAAGCAAAGAGAAACAGAACTGGATAAAAGACTGATGGACCTGCAGAGAACACCGATGTGCTGGTTTATAAGTGATATACTGGGGAAAAGAGAGATGGAACAAGATATTAAAGAGACAGAACAGGAGAAAACAGCAATGGATCCCGATATTAGAGTGAGACAACCAGAGAAAAGAGTGATTGAACCCTATATTAAAGAGAGAGAACTGGAGAAAAGAGCAATGGAACTGGATAGAAGAGCGATGGAACTGGATATTAGACAGAGAGAAATTGAGAAAAGAGCGGAGAGAAGACAGACCGAACTGGATAAAAGACTGATGGACCTGCATGTAAGGCAATATAAGCTGTATATAAGAGATAGAGAAGCAATGGAACTGGATGGAAGAGAGATAGAACTGAAGAAAAGAGAGATGGAACCAGATATTAGAGAGATAGAAATGGAGAGAAAAGACATGGAACTGTATATTAGAGAGAGAGAACTGGATAGAATAGAGAGCGAAATGGAGAGAAGAGAAACCGAACTGGAAAGAAGAGAGAGAGAACTGTATAGAAGAGCGAGCGAAATGGAGAGAAGAGAAACTGAACTGGATAAAAGAGAGAGCGAACTGGATAAAAGAGAGAGCGAACTGGATAGAAGGCCTGAAGGAATGAAACCTGTGCGATCTAGCAGCAATGAGTTAGACCATCCTAACAGTAAGAATTATGTTATTTATGCACAGTTTGATTGATGCATGCATGTGATGATAGAAGATCATGAAATAATTATAATTTCATCCGATACACCAAACTTGACATTCATGTTGAGGTCAGACCACACACTGGACCTCCTAAGATAAGATAATGAACAGTTTTATCAAATCATTACTCTGCATAATGATGACTACATCTCAAGTAGACTTACAAAAGATCTACTGTATATTGTTACTCATTGTTGGGAGTAACATACTGTACATTACATCATCACATTGATATTTTTGAAGTAACATGGAAAGTAACATGTTCCCCTATTTTAAACTTACACTATAATACCTAATACTGTAATTTAATAAATAAGTAGCACACATTCAGTACACATTCATCTTCTCGTTACTACAGCGCTGTTACATAGACATATGCAATGCATGCTTTGAGTCACATAGTGAGGTTTTTCCTCTCTGTTGATCCAATTTGCTTTCAAATCTACACTAATAATGTCATCTAATGACAAAAGAGTCATTATAAACACTTTACGGTGCTATATACACATTTGAATGCAAAGTAATAGTAACACAATAATGTAACATTACATTTAAAGGGGTCATATACTGAGAAACCAAAATTCCTTTGATCTTTTGACATGTAAGAGGTCATTGACATTGTAATATACACGGCCGATATCTCAGAACAAATAATTTATTTGCATTGGAAGGGGTGGGACACCTGTCTATATTAGCGCACTCTGATTGAATAAAAAAAGTAAGTTTTGGCTAGCTACGTGTTGGAGACCCCTGTTCTATCTATGATGTAATAGTGTGGCTAAACTCCGCCTCCGCAGAAGAAGATCAACGCCTGCTTCTACATCACTGCCTTCTTAGCCCCGCCCACCAAATTGTGCATGTAGTGTGTAAATAACAAGAGAAGCTAATGCAGGATTACGCTGAAATCAAACAATAAAGATGCTCTGAACACAACAAGACGCTGTGCAGAGCCAAGTTGTGGAAAAACAGTCTTTGCATCCCAACATTAGGAAAGAGTGGATTAACTTTATTTTTAATGAAGACCCAGACGGCGTCAGTAAGAACTCGGTCCTTTGTTCACTTTATTTCACCGCAGATTCATTTACAAACAAAGCACAATTTGACGCAGGATTTTCAGAAATATTGAAACTAAAAGACGACGCTGTGCGACTATATTGGATCCGATGTCGCGCCACACAAGTGTGAGGAACTGTTTTCATTACCTGCTCACTATTGCTTTTTCTGTTATTACAGATCGTTGATAATGAGTATTTATGCGATTTTTAATCTAAATCACAAGCAGTGTCCATCTATGAAGGATGTAGTTGTCAAACATACTCAACTGTTAGCCAATCACAGCAGTGAGCGTTTACTTCCGAGTCCGCCACGCCTCTTCAAACAGAGCATTCTGAAGAGGGCGTCAAAACAAGACAGAAAATAGCCTATTACTTCTGAATTATGATGTTTTTTGATATACAAATCTTGATAACATTATAAGTAGACCTCAGAGAACAGAAAAAAATAAAACACAAAGGCAGTTCATGACCCCTTTAAACATAATGTTCCTTTAAACTAATGTTTGTTGAATTTGTTCCTGATAAAAGACATGCTAACCTTAAGATATGACACTTAAATTGTCTCTCTGTCTGTTTTCATTAGTGTCTGAAAGTGAGAACAAATCTCCAACACAGCTGATTGGTTCTCTCCTGTATCGGTAGCCAATGAGCTCGCTGCTCAACATTCAAATATATGACTAGTGCTTGCCGTAGCAGTGCAGCTTGCAGAACAGCGAAATCAACATCTAAGATAAGTGAATGCTCTTCTAATCCATATCACTGTGTGTATTGCATGGTCTGCATAATTGAATTAAAAAATAAGCAACCATAATCAAGTTTAAATGGTCATGTTAGCAGTTTGCATTGTATGCAGGAGCGAGTATTAAGCATATTAGCAGCAGCATTTAGCATCTGTGTTTATACAGTCGGAGCAAAACGCAGTTTAGAGCATATGTAATCGCTCTGATGACACGCCGATAGTAACGGACATGAAACAGGTTAAATGAAATAAGCATTTTTGTGTATGCATTTCAATGGGGGTTCGCCATATACATCGGCGACTATCCCAGTGTTCACATTCGTTATTTCTAAGGTCGATGTTTTCATTGTGAGGAGTGTGTGGTTGATTTCAGCTGCACGCTGTGTCAGAAGCACGCGCTTATCGCAGTCATATCAATGACAGTGTTGCTGGAGACGCTGAAGATCACTATCTACAGCTGGAACAGTTAGTTCCGAGTGAAATGCATTATGGGTAGTAGGGCTGTCAAAATTTATTTTCGAATTTCGAATATTCGTCGAATTTAAAATAAAAATCCACATTTTTAGGTGTGCGTCAGGCAGCATTATCAGTGGCGCACGAGATGCGATGACAATGTAAGTGTCGTTGCATTATAATGTTTTTGTTAGCCTATCCAGTTGAAGCCACTATTGAACCCATTGTAAATTAAAAA